ATGAAGGCTTCTTTGACTTACATCTCTTTTGTAAACTGATCCAGGAAAGGGCTAGCGTGGAAAGCATGAGGCCTTTGAACTCTGGTGCTTTCCACGCTAGGTCAGATAGGGTTGTACCTAGGATGATGTGGCGGCCACCTGCCAAGAAGCAAGCGCATCCGGTACGGACCGAACTGGCCCGGCGGCGGAAGACAGGCTATAGTGTTTGTGCCGGAAGCTCTACGTAATAGACTGTGTTTACTCTGGTATTATATTTAATTGCATGACTCTAGCTGCTAAGTCTACGTAAAACATCTGCATATTCAACTGTTCAGCATGGTTGATCGGAACAGATCTTTGTCTTCAGCACTAGACTTGATCAAGGTGGGTACATGCTATTCAAAAGAACCTCAAAACTGAAGTTTCTAACTGATGAAAGCGTTTTGTAGAGAACTGGTTGCAAGCAAGTAATGCATTTGATCGCGATGACCTTGCAGCTTTAGTAGATGCGCTAGACTGCTTAAAGAAGGACGCTCAGCAGAAATTGTCCATGAAAGAAGCCACCAAAGCAGGCATACAATCCAATAAACGGCTTGTAAGCACAGGCGGCGCTAACCAAGGGGTGCGGAGGTCTTCCCGTCGCATTGCATCCGCTCCTCGGCTTGCTTCAGCAGCTTCACTTTTCGTCAATGAACACGAGGCAGAGTCTGAGTCTAGTGACGAAAACAATGGAGCATCTCCAGAAACATCTGCCGAAACAAGCTCCGTTGAACATGCCACGATGGTTGCAGCTGTGGGAACCTCGTTTGAGAATGCGTCTTCTTTAGGCGAAAGTCCGATACCAAACCTTCATAGGGCCGAGCTAGTGGAAGCGGGACACACTTTTGAGCCAGGAACATCACCTTCTATGCTCTGTGCAGCAGCCGTCGTCAATCACCAATATGAGCACACAGCTTCTCAATCAGCGCCAGCGCTCAGTCTATCTAATGCACAACCATATCAATCTCCCTTCAACACAACTTACGGGGTGGTAGAAGAATTGAGTCACAGCCAACAACAGGCTGGGATCGAACCTCCACCTCGTGCTTCTTCCAATGGGCTACATCAAGGCCTGGCAGAGCAAGACGCGTCGATCTCGCAGGCACGTGAAATGCATCTCCAAGTTGACGACGAAGAGGAACTTGGAATGCACGATGCAGCCAGCCCACAGTTCTTCAATGATGCGTTTGAAGACTTGTTTGGAAGCTCCTTACAGAATGAGTCGGAGATGAACTTTACAGACACTTCGGTGGGCTACATTGACGTCGGAGAGGCTGCAGTGGGCTACATGGACGTCGAAGAGGCTGCAGTGGGCTACATGGACGTCGAAGAGGCTATAGTAGACAACCAGGAGCAACATGCGGCTGACCAGCATCACACACAAAGCTTCGCTCAGGATCCGATATTTCAAAGCTATCTGGATTTTGCCTGTCGCTCAAACTTCCAACTTCCACACGAAACGTCAGAACATACAGACCAGGTAGAAGTTCGAGAGCTCCTTTCGCCTCTGGTAGAAGGGACACCCCTTACATCGAAGCTTCTCCACGGCTTGATCTACTTATTGGTTCCCGGTCCGCTTCGTGTACTAGAGCTTGACTCCGGAGTATGTGATGAAGAACTTTTACCAAATGAGAGCTTAGTTGACAACTTTGCATTAATTTTCTCTCAAAGCACGAATGGTCTCTCCCTGCTAGTGTTAGGAGATGCCGAGAAAAAGACGTTGTTGGTTCTTAGCAGCCGCCCAGCGAACCTGTCAGCCATGAATACTTTACATCCTAAGATATCTGAATGGAAGACGAAGCACATTGACGTACGTAACACTCTCGCACTCGCCTTTGTATCAGCTAACGTCTTAAAGCCTTATGAAGTTGCGCCATATGTAGAAAGCAGCCTTCTTTCCGTTTGGATAGCAGAGGCTTACTTTTGTCAACGGCCGCTTACGAATGTTCCATCCCCACGTTGTCTACGCTTACGGTTTCTAGGAGAGCTTTTAGCGCCTTCTCAACGGGACTTTATACTTGGGAAATGGGGCATCTCTAGCAAACTAGCAGCCTCTCAGCAAGTTGACACTAGATCAGTTATGGCGCATACAGAGATACAAGCACAAGAGAACGATATTTTTGTAGCCAATCTCGAAGGCTTTGATTCCGACGCGCTGCATAAAGTGCTCCGTCAGCGACCTGCTGAGATCCCCCGTGGGCGTTGTCTAAGAATCCTACAATGTGTACACGAGATAGGTTGTCCCTACATTCTCGAATCCCTCAAACTAGCTTTTACCCAAAAACACGAGGGTCATCCACAGGAAGCCGTACAACAACCTATCGTTGAGAAGCTTTTTCACATTCACCTTTATTTGGATCGTCAGGAGACTCAGAACCACCTTCTCGTTGCCAGGAGTCGATATGTAAAATATTGTTACTTCGAAACATATCTTCTAGCTGTTGAAGCACTTCGTAAAGAGAAGCGCGATGGCACCCGAGAAAACAAGAAGATATCAGCTCTGAAACAAACGACTAGCTTCAAGCTAGGCCTCTGTAACGAACTACCTCCCACGCCACATAGTGACGAGATTCATCGTATATACGAAGATTTCAGCCCCGTAGAAAAGAAACGAAGGGCTGAGGATATGGTTAAAAACGAGATTTCTAAGAAGGTGGCGAAGGTTTACAGGGTCGAGGAGAAGTGCATTCGACGTGATATCAATAGGTACATTAGGGAAGGGAGAGTGCTACACTACATCTTGCAAGGAGGAGTAGTTTTGAATCCAAGCTTACTTCTTCTGTTTCCAAGTTTTGGGACCAGCCCGCCTTCTTTAAGTACAGCTAGGCTCGGAATTGAGCTAAAAGAGGCTGAGGAAAAGAGTCTGAACAAACCTATCGAGGTAAAAGAGTACGTGATAACTTTCTCTATGAGCAGATAACTATTAACAGCAGCAAATAGCATCGAGAGATTGACAAAAGCCGAGGCAATTTGGTTCGGTAAAGTTCTACAGGCTAGGCCAGGGCTACTAGAGGTGGTACCAAAAACAATCCTAGATCTAATTTCTGATAGCCCTACCGAAGCTCTGGATCTTCACGAGCTAGACGCGAATCGTTTCAGAGATAGGCCTCTTAGTTTCTTTGTAGGATAGAATGTAAGATTTATACCCATTGGGATTAGCTTATCGTCTTGGTGGAGCCTGCTAAGAGAACCGAATGTATCAGCCGAGTTTTTCTCTCTCTATATAACCCTCTATTTCTCTGTCAAACTCCGACATTCACATTTTCCATACATTTCTCTCATACATATCTTCCAATTATTTGTTCATTCTAGCTACCGAGCTGTCACGAAACATGACTCAGGTTTCGAAGATGAAACCCGATTCTGTCAGCCGTGAGGCTAACCAGGACATGTGGTCTTGCTTGGGTGCTATAAAAATCAACCAGGCGAACTTGCTTGTGTTCTGGGAAAGCTCGTGGCATTCGGCACCAGAATACCATGCACTTAGTGCAAGTGGACACAAAGGATGGCTTGTTCATGCCCGAAGCGATGACATGCTACTCATTGCTTGGGAGCCTACTATCGAAAAGAGATCGTCTCAACGCTCGCCTCTCAGTCTTCTGTACGAACCTGCCGTGGAAATTCGAAAGAACCGACCTGGCCTTCTCGGATTCGTTGCGACCAAAACTATACTTGACGCTTCAAGGTCAGGGAAACGCCATCTTGCTTTCTTAGCCTATTGGAGGGTCACCCCTACAACGAAGGAGCACTTTTTGCATCTTGAAAAAACATTTTCCACCCACAGAGGTCATATTGTACACGAAGAGGGTGACAGAGTTTGGGTCCAATGGGAACCTACATGGGTACTCTACAAAGATCTAGACGGGAAAAAGCAAACGCAGCTCCTACGGTTGTCTCGTGATCCTGAAAAACTGCTACGTTACTTCCACAAAGCAGTGGTTGCTTATTCTACACTCCCCATGGTTGAGAAGCGGATCAGATAGAAGGCTATTTATGAAATAGAGCTATGTCTTGTTGCCATTCATGGATCTTAATCTCTACTTCAAATAAAACTCGATAAACACTGACACTTCTATGCAGCCTGAGTTCATCAACACTGTAAAGGACCTTATCCTCTGCACACTTAATGACTACGCTTACTCTACTATGTAAAAGGACATGGCCTAAGAGATTCATGGTTTTTATCATCTTTTCTCATAGTTTGTTAAGCTCATGAAATTAGTCTTCAAATGTTTTGGTAGATACAATTTGCAGGAAAAGCTCTTATTCAAGCTTCTGGCTCTGTATATAGGTTTTCTACTATCAAGGTTTGCATCTAGGCTATGAAAGCCAAAAAAAAGTGCGGTCAATACGTTGTGAAAGAGGTGACTAGGATCGAATGCTTTAACGATCTTTTATTCAACGATAAGATTTCTCGTCGATCTACTACACATGAGAATAATATGTTCCCATTATTCTTCAGAAGGCCTCTATTCAGAACCTCGTATGGCTGGCGAAACCACTGATCCAAGCAACATCTTGCGCAAGAAATCCCCAGTGATCGTGAGTGGGGACAAAACATCGGGTAGCTCGATGTAGTTACAGAAGCCTCTATCGCTATTGTCGCGATAGGTCAGCTTGCGCCAGGTGTTGCCAGCGCCAGTGTTGGGCAGACTGACAAAGCAAATGCCATGGGAATCCATCCTTTGCGAGTTCTTACTCTTTCTGCTTCTGCAGATTGCCTTGTGAACCCCGACGCTTGCCTCTGACAGAAGATCTATATGAGTTTGCGGTACCGTGCCCTTGACTACAATGATGTCGATCTTTGAGCCAAGTCCACTCCCCGAAGATTGTTTGGCGTCTGTGAATACCTGAAGTGCAACATTGGTCAACCCAATACCAGTTCCAGCATCGTATGACGTTTTCATTAGGTTTTCGTAGTTATGGACCGCGAAACTAAGGGGAACAGGTTCCATATATCGTGGAAGTAGGTCTCTAGCTTTCAGACTTATCTTTTCCTTTAAAGCCTGGCTGGAAGATTCATCCACTAAATTGTAACTGCTATAGGCGTCCTCAATCGTCTTAGTCATCTCTTCAGTGGTACTTCTTCTGTCGTAGCCCGCATGCAGCTCTTGTAGGAAGGTCTTGTTATCTTGGAAGCAGACGTCGTCCTCAGCCCGAACTATGTTGAACCGGTAGCCTTCAGGCGTTTTTCGAAAGGCACTCCGCCAGTCGGAATTCTCATGTTGTAAGCTACCGGCTTGGATTAGGTATTCAATCCACAATTGAATGCCTTGATGCAGTGTCTCAATCCTGGTGAGCTTCAACAAGTTCTCCACATCTCCGGTCGGATACCGGATTGGCCGATTTGGAAAAACTACAGTAGCACTTCTCGGCTTGACGCGGTCGAAGATGGATTTCAAGACAATCAAAAGGTCGTATTGCAATTTCCAGTAGTCCGGCATATCCTCATGTAAGTAAACTTTGAAGCTTCTTTCAGTCACTTGTGCCTGAAATTCCCCATTGTTAATCAAGGTTGACAGGAAATCGTTTGTCTGCTTCTGTGCTGTGGCTGAAAGCTGAACATGGGATGGCCCGCGAACAGTAGGTCCCTCTTCTATAATATGAACTTTAGAGCTAAAGCACCCCATGCTTAGGAATGATGGAATATGAAGCTGATGTTTTTGCAAGAAGAGTGCGGCCGCTTATGCATTTTCAACTATCATACGGCCCACAGGAGTCACACCCGTTACGTACTAGCTAAACCATGCATGACTTCCTTTACTATATAAAGCAGCATAAAATTTCTGTTTTCGCATGCAACTACATTCCGAAAGCTCCTTTCCTCCATTTCCAAACGTCTGGAATGTACCTCAAATCTGCTTGGGCTTTGATCCCTATAGGATTAGTGCGTCCGCATGTCTTTGTGGGCGATCCTGCTCCATTCCAATGGGACCTTCAAGTGACAAAGCTCACTATGCCAATGAATGGTGATAAAAACTACCAGGGTCCCGAATGGGGTCAGCAACCCTTCCCTTGCAAAGGCCATCATAGAGACGGAACTCGTAAAGAGACTTATACAACTACAACTTGGTATACTGGAAGTAGGGTGACGTTCCAGTGTGTCAGCTTCAACGGAAATACTCTAAGAGGATGACTTACAGTGTATCTATAGGATCTACGACTCTACCAATACAACTGGCGCTAGCATGCATGATCCGGGTGCAGCTCATTCGGGGGGCTCTTGCCAGGTATCATTCTCCTACGATAACGGAGAAACTTGGATTGTCGTTCAGAGCTGGGAGGGAAACTGCTTGCGCGTACGTAAGGGTCAAGAAGGGCAAATTACGAACTCCTATGACACTGACCAAAGCTACTCTTTTATCATTCCTACTTCCTTGCCCGGAGCAGACATGGTTATTTTTGCATGGTAGGTCAGATAATACCATTATAACGCACTGCTGACTCAACAGGACTTGGCTGAATTCATCTGGTAACCGAGAGTTCTATATGTCATGCTCACCTGTTCGGTTGATAGCAGCAAGATCCCCGACGAAGATTCCATCTGGCTATCCTATGTTTATTGCCAACCTCCAGGAAACCCCAGAAACACCAGACTCACAGCATCCAGTGTGGTCTCGGTGCTTTGTTCCGCAAAATGTGTGGGTTCGCTACCCCCAACGGTACAAAGGCATCAATCCACCAATCGTAGCCGATACACTTCCAAATAACAGCCAAATCCGCCATTTAGAGCTTGGAGACGATGGGGGATTGTGCGGCTCAGACAATAAAGAAAGGGTCAAAGCTCTTGCACTTCAATCTAGTTGAAGCATCTTTAAAGTTGCGCTACTCGAGCATGTGCAAGTTTGCTTCGGGTATGGAAAAATACAATTTTCATTTATATAACCATTTCATTTAGATTGTTCATAGTTCTTCACTCTATGCAGATGACTTCTCTGTTCTCTTCGTGAAATGCGTTCATTGCTACACCGTCAAATAAGGTGTTGAAATAGGTGCAGTTTGCCATATTGTGTCAGCGCTATATTTTCTATCTTTGAAGCCTCTTTTATCTGTTCTAGTTAGCTTATACCGTGGTGTTACATCCAAAATTGACGCCACATTTATCCATGACTGCATCATAGGTATAAGAACAGGATTCCCTACTACTGACCAAAAGTTATCTTGCACGCATCATACGCGCTGGAACATTTCCAGCTCCAACAAGCCCCTATTCTTGGGCTTTTCTACCGGTTTCATGGGGCATAATACCAAGCAAAGTCTTTGTTCTCTGTGCGGTAAGCGCCGATCTAGTCGCGCCCAACACGCTCAAGATGTTCAAGTCTGTTCAAGAAAGACATGCGCCAAGACTCAACGCCTTCTAGAGAGAGCTCTAAGAGACAGCAGCAGCCTAGTTATCAAGGTGTATCACTACTACCATGTTAGTTATATGAACAAGGATGCGTCCAATTGTGTACACTATAATAGTTGTGGTCTTCATGCCAAGGAAGCTCCCGATATCGAAGAGCTCATCGAACTGCCCGAGAATATTGCAAGACCGCGGCCCGACGCACACCGGTACTAGAACCTTTAGGTGTAGATATTATAGCTTTTCAATGAACATCCCCTCGATCCACTTCTTGGCAAGTATTGTGACCAAGATTATAAGTAAGGCTTGTACATGCCTGATGTTGAATATCTATGTGCAATCTGCATCTGGATCTGCGTAACATATCTTTTTTACAATACTCGTACATGTCGGAAGCTCGATAAACTACATCCAGCTAAATCATCTTCCCATTAAGCAATGCCCTTCACTCGGAAAGCACTTTGTAACGATCTTACCCCTGAGGCAGAATACTGCGCCATATGCTCAAAAACACTTGAAGCAGGCGGCGGAAAAGCCAGCCTTGTGTATGTTTTAAGGGATTGTCGCTGTGTAAGTCTATTGTTACTCACATTAAGTCATATTGCCAATAGTGAGAAGGTCATCTGTGGCTCTTGTGTCCAGTTTCCGAGTGTGCCACCCTTTCTTCCTTGCCAGCATGCCGACCACAAGGACTTTGGGTGGCAGAGACCGCTACGACTTTACAATCTCAAATGTTTCATCTGCTTAGATGCTAGAAGCTCCATTCGCATTGCTCTAGTTTGCGGTAGGTTGACATTGTGAATTTGAGGTTGCCAACTGTCTAACAATCAAGGCCACGTGTATTGTCGAATCTGTATTATAACATGGATAAGCTCTCACGGAGAGTTAAACAACGATTATGTAGCTTGTCCGTGCTGTAGGAATAGCATGACCAGGGTCTGGCGGTTGTTGTCGCATGACCAAGTTGTTATACCCTCCCAACGAGGGGTTGAGATTGTATCGCCATGCAGAAGTCCATAGATGTGGGACAAGATAACCCCCCCTTAATAGATTGGTTTTTTGAGTAACTTTTGTTGGAGCAACTGCTCCATTCCGCAACGGCCCGTTACCTATGACTTGATGACAAGTGATATCTCTCCTCATCCGAGCTCTTCCGTGGCTTTCCGTTAATCGTAAGCTAAAAAGCCAGCACGATGGACACCGGGAAGATCTCCCACGTTATTTAATCCTTCGATCTGCTGTTTTTCTGAGTTTGCTCCAGAATTCGATTTCAGAACACCGAAGTTTACAATGTCGACTACTACACCCCATTATGGAAACTACCTACTCGTATTGTCCGGATCGGTTGAGCATGCCCCGTTCTTGAAAAACTGGAAAACTCTCAAAGATAGTGTGCGAAAGAATGCCGGAAATCCAGGGTGGACAGATGTGAGCACGACGTCACATAGAGGAATACGACGGGCGTGGTGCAATCTATCGATAGAGAACAAGGCGAAAATTGCATACGGTACGCACCACGATCCGCAAATCGAAGAATGAACATTCACGTCAAGAGCCCTAGGATACTACTCAAAGATGCCAGGAGTAGGAGTCTGCTTAATGAGGAGGACATCGAATGGCGAATACCTGCTGCTTTACTACAACTGCACCGTCGCCTTCCCTACTGCATCTCAATGTAGCCATAACCCTTGTGGTCGGCAGGAAAACTGCCAGAGGCTTATGCCTAATAAGGCAGTTCTACCTTGTAACAGGACCTTGCCTTTTGCACCTCACCACATGATGCAACCAAGGGGTTACAGTATTTTGCCACTACGATTTTACCCCTTGTATGTAGCAGGCGTATATTTACCTAACTCTGCTAGTGGCTTTGCAAACGGGCCGCTACCATTATCATAGAAGGGCATCATGCTTTGATGTATACACTCTCATACACTTGCAGCTTCCGCTTTGCGCACGCAGCTTAGTTGTCATCCCACGCTCACCCCTGTCTCGCTTAGCGCAGGCTTTTCCTTAGTCGCTCTAGCTCTTGTCAGCATAGCCCTTACCCCCTACTTTTAGAAACCGCTAGACTTAGTTATCTCTTCTGAGTATTACTAAGTATCTTATAGTGTACTATAAAGTCCTCTTAGCACGGGTAACGTCCCTTACTATGTAGCGAAACACACTTTGTGCCGAGACAAATGAAGGGTACTTTAACTTTCAGTAACCGAAAACCAATGCGCACAAGGAATATTTCCATAATTCTATGGAAATGATTAGCTGCAGCTATTCACGAATGTCTATGATCCTTCCTATCCAAAAATTACGTTCGCATCGTCGCCTCCGCGCCTGATTTATACAGTGTCTTCTTTGTGGGCATAATAAGCCCCCCCTCTCCACAGCGCAAATCTCAAGCCTTTTTCGCTCTGAGGTTTTGTATGATAGTTCTATCCTACCCTCGCAACCTCCTTCTAATACCACGAAGTTACTATTAGTCCTATGCGCGCTAGGGGGCGCGATTTCATGCAGCGCCGCCCCCGTCGATTGGTACTTAACTATAGCGGAAGCGAACCACTAACCCTAGCTAATGCGCAATGACCCCGCACGTCTTACCTTATCCATTAGTGGGTATTTTACTGAAGGATGTGTGGCTGTGCAGCTTGCACAAGCGCTCGGATTATTGCTAAATCCGACTTGGGATTAGAAGCGTTGATAAGACTTGGCCCGGGTTCGAAAGCTTGCTTTTACACAGACGCGCAGTCCAACACACACTGATACCCACTTGTAACGTAGAGACATACCATTATGACGCCCTCAAGCTCCGACGCCTGCTGTTGTCCTCTTCGCTGACCGAACGAAAAACCTGATCAGGCCCACCACCTCCCCATTGCTCCATGAGTCCATCAGCGCCGGTTCCTAGACCAAGCAGCAGCGAGCTCCAGTCTCGGTTCGTTGGAAGGGAATACGATGCGACGGGAAGGATACAAGCTAAGATAGAGCGTGGCGGGCCTGGAATCGAAGCCTGCACTTCGGCAAGTGGGTTCAACCGAGCGTTACTGCCAAAACGCCGTCGTTGCAAGCGCATACGAAGGTGGAGAGGCCCTAGCTTTACGTGATACATGAGTACTGTAATCTTCAGAGCCATAGAGGTGTGCTTTAGTTCAAGCTATAAGGGTCGTAAGGAGTTTTGGGTTGTTCATGTTTCCACACGGATGAGTAAATTACTAGCAGAGCTGTGACGGTGGCCATGCTTGGCAAAACTCTACTCTATCTAGGGGTTTCATAGTTACAGCTCTCTTCTCTTCACCCATATCTACTAACCATCGCCTCCGGCGCAACCCTCCAGCCGGTGCGGCTTGGCCATCCTCCCTGCTGATGGTGGCAAACACCACGTACCATCGAAGTACCTACTGCAGCTGCTTACTAACTAGTCTAGTATCGAGAATGTAAAACGTAGGTTTATTCAAATATGTGATATATTAGTTACACCATAAATCTATAAGAAGAAGTTTGAAGGACTGTAGGTCTATTACTAGAGATTAATATGTGTCGCAGGCGAGGCACTGTCACAAGCACGTGCAAGAGCTAGCTGCGTTAGTAATCTTGCTGTAATTCCTGTAGATAGGCATTAGCTAGGGTGATCTGACATGCATTACACTTAATCACACACAATATACCACATTCACTCTTTTGACGTGAACCACCCCATGCACACAAAAGTGCGACATTATCCCTACCACAGACACGCTTCTAAAGATATTAGTAGTGCAAGGCTGTGCTTTCTAAGCAGCGCCTCCTATAGTCGCGGGTTCGTTGTTTCCACATGTTCTCTATTACTAAGACTGTGCCGCAATCCCTTACTTCACATACCCTCTCCCTCTTCTCTATTCTAGTCCCCGAGCGCGGCTGAAACTGAGTAGGATTAAATCAATTAATCAATCAATCAATCAAGGATTGCGAAGAAGGAAATAGAATTACGGTATATAGATCTTAGTAATAGCTCTCACAATTCACTGTTTTTAACTTCGTACTATCAGCGCAATATATTGTTACTGCTTTTCAGAAAGCCCCAGCCTTTCCTGTCTCTGATGGCAACCCTTATCTATTTCACCTCGCTTTATCCGCGAAAACCAATGCTACGCTACTACACAGGCTATCTCATTGTTAACCACTGGTGGCCCTAACACGTTGGAACTAGATGTTCGGCATTATGACCAGCTCCCTAGAATAGAAGCATCCAAGCTGCCTGAGCCGTGAGTCCAAGTAGTGCGAGCGAACTCGCAGCAAAGACCGGAAAGCGTATGGAAGGATTATTGGTAGAAACGTGAATGATGCTGTGTAACATTCTCAGCCCTACATAAGTCCACGCCACACCGACAGTTCTCTTGTCCTTGACATCCAAAAAGCTCAGCCCCAGCAACACTGCGTAGAACTGAGTAGGTTGTTCCAGTAAGTTGTTGAAATTATCTGCCGGCCATTGAACGAAAGCTGGTAACTTTTCCGCCTTCTGCTTTTTGACGGTTGCTGGATCAAAGGTGACGTTGTACTTCGAGAGCGCTGGGATCCTGCGTTTGTATAGTAGGAATTCCATAGCAAAGGTCCAGATATTAAGGCCGACAAGGGGGCCAAGGAGAGGTTTGTTGGCAAGAAGGGGGGACATGGTGGCTGTTGGCTGATGGTTCGGGCCAGGAAAGTTGGCAATTGCCTCAATTCGGGGCTGTAGAGTAACAACGTTTTGGTAGGTAGAGGAAGCAAGTGAGCGAGCGATATAAGTCCGGTCTAACAAATTTATTTCCTGTTAGTAGCTTAACGCTAAGAGCGGTTAGTCGAGCGTATTAACCCGCGATCCACCAATATCTCCGTTGAAATGGACTTATTTGTCAGCTCCATGCAGACGGTCCGATTCTACCAATAATCGAGACACCCAGCTTTAATGACCTAACTTGATTTGGTTAATTACGTCATAGAACATGATTTCTGTTGCGTATGTTAGGTTCTTCGAAATATTCATGATTCCCCGTCCACAATACTCCGATCGAGTGCGCTTTCTAGCCTCGGACAGTTTCAAATCACTTTGTCAATCCCAACTACGATACTCATCTTGCGATAATTATACTGCGATAGTTAATCAGATCCGCGATTTTTAACACGCTTCTCATTTAGCAAACGATAGGCTATGCCAACCGCAACAATTGTCTGCTGTACCTCTACTAATTCGGCCTCGCATTTGGCGATACTTCTAGCATGGTAAGTGAGCTGCTGAGGAACCGTCTAAATAACGGTGAAACAATCGCAGCTATCCGCTGGCGGTTAAGACCACCAGAAAGTATCAAGGGTCTGTGCAAGATAAACAATAGTGGCGGGAAAGCTGCCTGCATTTCCTAAGATGTATCGAGCAAGAAGAGTGTTAAGTTTGCCTTCGAAACCACTGTTCAGAATAGTGACAACGCGCCGTACGCGACCGTCATCTATAACGCCTCTCGCCATAAGCACTTCTCTTGCAAAGATATATGCGCCTAAAGGTGCAAACGCGGTCCACGCGACGATGTATGGTGAGATTGACATTCCTAAGTTGCAAAAAACGCTGAAACAGATGTGAAGCTAGGGTAGGACCAGAAGATGTCGCAAACGTTTACTGGGATCGACACACACAGAGTTGAAATGGATTTACGAACGAGTTCGACATTGTCGATGCTTGAAAAATAGTGGTTATTATAGTCTTTGAAAAGAGTCATGCTTGCTTAATCTTTAAGATCTTAGTATGCAGCTCTAGATAGTGTAGCATCCTGCCAAGCATGGCCACCGCCATAGCTCTGCTAATACTCATCCCTCGCGAACATGAACAACCAAAACTCCTCACTATTGTTAGAGGTCGAACTGGAGCATATCTCCACGGCCCTGATGATTGCGGTGCTCGTGCTCGGAGCCGCTTGTCGTTTAATCGTACCATAGCTGTATCACTAAGCATGCAGAGCCTTTCCACCTTCGTATGCGCTTGCGACGGCGTTTTACCAGTAGCGCTTGGTTGAACCCCATTTGCCGAAGCGCAGGCTTCGATTTCCAAGGCCGCCGCACTCTACCTCATCTTATATCCTTCCTATCCCATCGTATTACCCTTTAACGAGCTAAGACTAGAGCTCGCTGCGGCTTGATGTAGAAATCGGCGCCGGTGGACTCGAGAAGCATGGGGACGTAGTGGGCTCGATCAGGTCGTTGCATCGGTCAGCGGAAGAGAGAACGGCGGATCTCAACACTCGGGGGCAACGTGATAGTATGCATCACGAAGCAAGTATCACTGTGCGTTGGACTGCATCTCGAAGTGTGTGGGATCGCTGTGTCAAGCTGGTTTCGACGCTGAAAGCGCGTCGGCTGACTTAGGTCTATCCCTGCGTAGCGAGACGCACTGTGTGGCGAGACAAATAAGGGGTAACTTGACTTCCAGCAACCAGGAAGCTCACGCGCACGACAGATATTGTTATAAGTCTATTGTCAGGACCTGGACCGGATTGGCCCAATCCGGTCCAGGGCGGCTCAGGCTTGGCAGCCTTAGTCAGCAAGGCCACGTTAACTAACGTGCCCCACCAGTAAGCGGCCCACCCCAGTAAGTGGCCCACCCCACCCAACCTGACACGACTCTCCACACAATCACCACAATGCCGCGACAACAACGCTCTATATAGACCTCTCGTGAAGCTAGAGTACTTCTAGTGTCTCGTGCGCTTCAAGAGAAAAGTGTAACAAGCCAGCGTCAGGCTGCTATGCTATACGACGCTCCACAAACGACGCTCCGACGACGCCTCCGCGGTACCCAGCCGCGATCAGAGACAGTTTCTATCAATCGCAAGCTATCAGCTATTAAAGAGCAGTCTCTTGTTCAATGGATCCTAGAGCTAGATCGACGAGGCTTTCCACCCCATATCATCGACGTGCGACGAATAGCAGACGCTCTACTCGCCGCGCGTGGCGAAGATCCACCTCCACCACCTGTCGGCAAGAACTGGGTATCGCGCTTTATCCAAGGCCAGCCAGAGCTTCAGACAAAGTGGACTAGACGATTGCATAGTCAGCGCGCCTCCTACGAGGATCCTGCTATAATCGCAGCATGGTTTAAGCTAGTAGAGGAGACGCACCAGACTTACGGCGTTCTTGACCAGGATATTTACAACTTTAACGAGACTAGATTCGCGATGGGCGTCGCTGCAACGTCAAAAGTGGTCACTAGCTCTGATAGAGTTGGTCGAGCAGTCGTCGTCCAGCCAGGTAATCGCGAGTGAATGACAGCGATCGAGTGCGTCAACGCGTCTGGCTGGTGTCTTCCACCCTTCGTGATCCTGTCTGGTAAGGTCCACCAGAGCAACTGGTATCGCAACCTCCCCCTCGACTGGACTATCGCCGTCTTAGATAATGGCTGGACGACAGACGAGCTTGGTGTAGAGTGGGTGAAGCACTTCGACCAGCATACAGCCGCTCGTACAGCCGGAGTCTATCGTCTGCTTATTCTAGACAGCCATAGCAGCCACGCCACGCCACGCCAGAGTTCGATCAGTACTGTGCCAATAACAGGATTATCACTCTCTGTATGTCGCCTCACACGTCGCACCTCCTCCAGCCTCTAGACGTAAGCTGCTACTCTCCACTAAAGCGCGCGTACGGATGCGAGGTCAAGGAGCTCGCCCGCCACGGCGTCTACCATATTGATAAAATAGACTTTCTTACAGCTTATACACGAATCCGGCCAGTTATATTTATACAGCAGAATATCCAGGCAGGCTTTCAGGCGACAGGGCTTGTCTCTCTTTGTCCAGATCGCGTCCTGTCATTGCTAACTGTTATCCAGACGCCGTCTCCACCACCAACAGCTATAGATAACAATATTACAGCGCAGGCAGCAGCACAGACGGAAACACCACATACAGTAGCCCAGCTTCAGGAGCAGGTGCGCTATCTTCAACAGCGACTACACCGGCAGTCAGAGAGCCCAACAAGTATTGCAATACGTCAGCTCGCGAAAAGCGCTCAGCTCGCGATGCAATCAGCAACAATACTTGCAGAGGAGAATATGAAGCTACGAGCAGAAATCCAGCGTCAAAGACAAAAGCAAAGCCAGCCGCGTCAATATATCGCTTCTGGTGGAGTGCTCCGGGTGCAGCAGGCTCAGCAGCTCGCTATAGAGTCAGAAAGGGTAGTTGCAGAGGCTGAACAAGGTGAGAGCAGTCAGCGACGTCAGCGCGCGCCGCCGACGTGCACGAAGTGCCATATCCAAGGACACACTCGCACTTCATGCAGAGCTGGATAATAAATAATATCTCTTAATTTTAACTGATTCTATTGCGTTCTTGTGGCTCAATTGCGCAGAACGTCGCATCAGGTTTGGTGGGGTGCCCAGCTTACTGATCCGACACGTTAATCAAGATGCTGAATTACGGGGACGAGCGGAGTACGATCTATCACGTGATTGGCCTGTCAGGTGCATGCCAAGAAGGACCAAGCAGGCCGACAACAAGCTCTGTCAAGATCGCGTCTTAAATCCGGGTTGTAACATTACTCTATTCCGATCCTCCGTGGTTAAAGCCGGCATACGAATACTCAAAAGGGAAATACAGAGGCGCGGCTCCGCGAAATTTGGACCGGCTAGTGGCTTCACTATCGCCGACAATTCAATTCGTCCGAAAGTTAACAAAGAAATTGCTCCCTGAGATTTCATAAAGAGATTGAGGACGAAGAAACGCACTGTATATGTTACAACTTAGCATACGACAAGTCTCCCAAGACCTCCTTATATCGTAAACCTGATCCAAAGACTTCAACCACCAAATATAGTCGGTCCGATTACTTGAACAAGACGCACGCTATTCGTATTGATACTTTCGATTTCCTTTCAGTAATATTCAGAAAGACACCAGCATATTGAACAGTTATTCCAGTTCTCTCGAAAGACCAGCTCACCAGAGCCTCCAAAGACATCGACATGAAGATGGGCAATCAACTCTCCCAAGTCTTTCCTCCCGCTCCGAAGTTTACAGAGGCAACAGTCCCCGACCTTACATCCAAAGTTTACATCATCACTGGTGCCTCGGCAGGCGTGGGCAAAGAGCTTGCGCGACTCTTATATAGCCGTAATGGTACGATTTACGTTGCAGCACGTTCAGCAGAAAAAGCCAACACCGCGATATCTTGGATCAAGGAGCGCCACCCAAGTTCAACTGGTCAGCTGCATTTCCTTAGGCTAGACCTGAATGATTTACGAGGAATTAAGTCTTCTGCTGAAGAGTTTCTGAGCAAAGAAAAGAGACTGGATGTGCTTTTAACAATGCGGGCGTTATGATGCCACCGCAGGGCAGCAAGACAGAGCAAGGATACGAATTGCAATTGGGCACGAATTGTCTAGCGCCTTTCTTATTTACGAAAATTCTTACTCAGATTCTCGTGCAAACTGCCCAATCAAGTCCGGCTGGTAGTGTGAGAGTGATTTGGGTGTCCTCGAGCGCAGCGGAGGTGGTTGCACCGCGGGGCGGGATTGATTTGGAAAACCTAGATTTCAAGAAGGATCAGTCAGCAACGGCAAGATATGCCGTTAGTAAAGGAGGCAACGTACTACATGCGATTGAATATCAAAGGCGATATAAGGACGAGGGGGTGGTTAGCACTGTAAGTTTTTGTCCATGTGGTCGTATGGACTTTTGAGCTAATAGGATACAGGCACTTCATCCAGGCCTCCTTAAGTCTGATTTGGGGCGACATGCGGGGTTCTTCTTGAATGTCCTTTCCAGGCCGTTTCAACATGCACCAGTGAATGGCGCTTACACAGAGCTTTTCGCAGGACTGGCACCTGAAGCTGGGAATCTCAAGGAGGGGGAGTGGGTCATCCCCTGGGGAAGAATTGCAGAGGTCCGGAAGGACTTTGTGACCGAAGGTAAAGCAGGGCCTTTTTGGGAGTGGAGCGAGAAGCAGGTAGAGGGGTATGCATAGGCTTCGGTAGCGCAGAGTTTCACTGGGTGCGGATGGCTTGACAAGACGGCAAATAGGTATCTTCATTCTTCACATCTCGTTTGCATAACAAAGAATATATACTCCTGTGGAATTTCTTGAGACTACACCGCTCCGTGAGGCTGAGCTTACCACCTCAAGGACCCGAAGTCCAGCTTGCCTCTACCAATAATAAGTCGCAAATGTAATCCAGCCAAGGCCGCTATCTGAGCCTGATAGGTGAGTTGGTGGGAAGAGTTAAAATGTTAGTGCTCGAGCTAAGAGCATCTGAGATGTTGTGGGCAGATTTGAAGGTGGCGGGCGATTGCATAGCCCACAGTGTGGTGTGTTAAGGCTAACAGGTAGGGTTAGCCGAAGGCGATTTTGCACCGCACTGAACTGAAGAGACTAACACCTTGGTAATGCCGCTCCTGCCATCGGGTATGTAAGGGGAGCGAATTCTGGTGTTTTCAGAGAACCAAGTTGGTTGACGGGAGGCTGGCCAAGGCTGAGGCTTGGGCTGGGACACGACACTTGATACGTGTTGGCTGACTAAACAAGAGCCGTGGCAGAGTCCTTGTGCTGCTCCCAATCTTGAGCCAGATTTACTTATCTTCCGGAGCGCGTGTGCGATACGCAGAGTCTAGATTGAGAGTAAATCACACGCGGAGTCATCTTGTATTAGTAGGAATTAGTACTTCGCTTGCGCTGGAAGTACCAATCGACCTAGCGGCCTATCATGAATTTGTCCGCGACAGCACGCGCAGGGCTGATAATGGCTTCTAAGTATTAGAGGGGGTTCTTAGGCTTAGATAAGGCTATTCATAAAATTATATAGCGATAAATGCCTAACGTTGGCGCTGTAGAAAGGGAGCTCTGTTATGTAGAAGCATTCTTAGCCATTTGTGAGATCTAATACCATCCCAATCATACTCATGGTGGCATCATGGTGTACTACTTAGAATATTCCTGTTCGACAAAGGCGCAACCCTGCACTGAGAGCAACAATTTACAGATGACAATTGACTTCGTATATACGCCACGGGTTTCCTTATTACAATCACTGGACGATATCTTAGTCAAATTGTTGCTAGCGTGTATTTATACACCTAGACCTGCCAGAGTTATCTTATTTGATCAAGACATCTTCTCAAGATCTATACATTGTACCTTACACACTTACTAAACGATGTATGTAGTGCAAATCCTCCTAGCATCCTTAGCGGCTACAGCTCGAGCCCATATGTCGTTGTGGTATCCGCCCCCTCTTGGTGGTAGTAAAGCAGCCAACTCTTTCACACCCTGGCGATTGTCGTGGTCATCTCGACCTTCTAGATACAGAGGAAGGCAGTCCGCAAGTCACATGGAAACCTGGCCAGGACGCCTACTTCCAGTTATCCGACCACATGTATAGTATCGGTGTTCCAGGATCAACTCACTACGGAGGAAGCTGCCAAGTTGGCTTCTCTGTGGACAAAGGTCAGACATGGAAAGTCGCAGCTTCATACCATAGGAACTGTCCCCACAGGGACAAAGACGCGCCACAAGTCTTTAAGTTTAAAGTCCCTTTAAACATACCGACAGGTATAGCAGTCTTTGCTTGGGTCTGGTTGAACCGGGAGCATGAATTTTTCATGAACTGTGCAGCAGTTCAGATTAGCTCGAGCTTTAGCAGTACCACCACCAGGCGCATTTATACAAGCTTTAAAACTGTTCCTACTACACATCACCCTGCACTACCAGATCCTACTAGCAAAGCACTACGGGAAAGTGAACAAGACAGATCGAACGGCTGCGATAAAGACTCGACAGGCCGCAGTAGTTCATACGGTCCAAGGCTGGCTAGAAGTAAGTGGAAATACATCAAACATCGTCATAATAGGAAGCATTCTAGGCACCACTACCATATTCACAAATCTGACGTCTTAGCATCGCCTGAAAAGCTTCATCACCGGTCAGAGAACACCGCTTCCGATGTTTGCGATTGGAACAACGCGCCCAGGATGGAAACTAGCTACTATTCTATAGATGCAAGATGTGCACCTAATGCTAAGCTGAAGAACCCAAAGAGTGATGACTTTGAGATTGGCTGGGGTAATTTTTGCGGCGTCGTTGAGGGGGACAAAGAGTACACTATTCAGAACATCGGGTGTTAGGGTTAGAGTCCTAGCAAACTTGCGAAGATGCTGTCCCAGTCCTGTTTATCGCAAAAATGATATTTAAATAGTACAAGTCAACAAATGTAGTAGTGGACTAGCTAACATGATTCATACACGCATTATTTATGTAATACTCTCTTATAACTCCTAGCTTATGTGTTACTCAAAGACTTTGTGTTACCTTTTCGATCAAACTAATGCACATCGAATACAACAGATCGCCTATATTCGTACATATAAGCAAAGAAAGCATAGTTAATACACAGCAGCCCTGTACAAGGAGCAGCCGCAATGCTTTCCAGTTACGAGCACATCGCTGAGAAAGATGGCTATTAAAGACGGTTGTTGTACTTCTTCTGAATATATCCGCAACCTTTTTCGGATGATATGGGACTTCTAGTTCCGTCACGGTGAATGTTGGTGGAGCAGATTGACATGCTGTAGCTGCAATGACACCGAATCGGTCAAGTACATAGTCAACTGGCAAATCGGACTCGGCAATTGTCTCATACTTCAACGTATATGCTCTGCGGCCTTTCTTTTCAAAGTCGGTTTTGCCTGTCCAAGCAGCAAGGTGCTCCAAGTCGACTAGGTAGAATGGATTTGCTGTCTTTCTTAGAAAACGCCCTTCTGTAATTCTTCTCAGAAGCAGCTGGTTCAGCTTAACCCGGGCGTCTTCCCAGACAGGATTTTGAGAAGCAGCAGCTGCAAGTACATCGCAGTACTTGAGTCCCATCGAAGCCCACTCGTAGTATTGAACTTTAGTCATGCCCCAATATTGGGCTGTCTTAACAAGCGGAGCGAGACACTGCTTACTCGTTCTGATCTTAGATTGTGCCGTATTGACGAGTTGCTCCCATTGCTTCGCATCGAAGAGAGAATCTAGCTGCGGCTGCTCGTTCTTTCTATAACGGTAACACTCTTCTATCATAACCTCGTTCAGTTTTGTAAACAGCCAGTCAGCTTGTCTTTGTTGCGAAAGCATCTCGTTGCGTATAGCCATGCATGCTTGGAATTTTTCGTCTTCAGATGATATAGAGCGTAATGAGGACTGAAGTGCCCGAATGTTTGGAGAAGCGGGATTGAAGTCGAGTATATCGGTACTTTGAAGGCTTAGCGCTGAACAGATACTTCACTGTAAGACCTACTTTTGCGTTGTTTTTTCCATCTTGTGCAAAGCCAAAAGCCGGATGATGGACTATTATGCCCTTCAGCAGCTTATATACCTTAGGGGCTAGTGTTTTCAAGAGGTTACTAACCCTTGCTCATGATGTGTACGGGGATCAGGTACTATTGGTAGTGCTACGCACGTGCCTCTGCGTTATTCTTTTATAACGCTAGGGACGCGACATCTGGCTGATCTTCTTGCCCTTACATTATTGACATATAGCTACCAAATCTTTGCTCATGAGATCCCGAACTACCGAACATACATACAACGCAATTTCGACATAGTGTCTTACATTTGTAAGCGAATGCTCTATTCTTGATGTAATCACTCCATCCCCCATCCGAAAAGGCTGACAGAGATGTTCAGGCTGTCACCACTCACCGGTTAACTACAGCCTTCCGTTTTTCGAGATGCCCCCATTACCACCACTTGTATATAACCAAAAGCTCGCCAACTATAATCGACAAGAAGATATTGCAAGTAGCGATGTTGTGGAAAGCGTTGTGTCTCTTGGATACCTTCTCTTTCTTTCGCC